TAGTGTTCACAGTCCATTCAGGTCGTAAGGAAAAACCATGTGCTTGTATGTGGTTTCCATATTCAATTTGAATTCAGCCCCACCTGAGTATCATATTATGTCAATGCATGTCAAATAGAATCTCCAATTTCCTACAATAACCTGTTTTCTCAGCATGTCATTTACAGCTGATAAGCTCCGTTAGAGGTCCCTATACAAATAGCACGGGCTACATGATGCGTCGGTATATATCTGTATATTCTCTGGTGCATAATTCAATGTCTCAAATGTCAAAAGAACGCATCTCCTGGCCATTTTCGTACATGGCATTTACTGAGCATAACAAGACTCCCGGAGCGATGTAGAGGGCTGTGACGTCAGCGGCCCGCTTTTGGTTGCGTTTCCACTTGGCCTAGTACCGGCTAGCGGGTCCTAATTCACAGTTTTTCTGGCCCCATAAAATCAGGGTTCTAGGGCCAGGAACAACCAGACTGTGACGTCACTCTCGACTGCTGATTGGTCAGAGAGAATTACGAGTTACAAGTTACGATGTTCCTATACTTTATTGCAGATGACAAGATCCAGCGGGAGCTCGACGGGACAACTCGCAATATGAAAGTATTTCAGGAGGTCTCTACACTGATGTGCGGAAGCGGTTACTCGAGGACTGTCTTGCAGTGTAGGGAAAAACTGAAAAGATGAAGAGTGAGTATGGCGTAGTGAAGGACACCAACAAGCCGATCGCTCCGCCTACACTGCGTTACTATAGATAATACCCCAGTTCCTAAACTGTAATGGAAACGTGCCATAAGTGGGCCAGTCCTGGAAACGCGCCATAAGAGTTGGATCTCTGGATTGTTCCTCCAGCAACACCATCAAAAACAAGCTTGACTCATTTTATAAAACAATTTTATCATCCACAAGGTACAATATGGACTGTGAAAGTAACAGCTGACAGGGCGCTTTGCTGCAAAAAGAAGATAGTATAAGTGTAACGAGATATTGTACGCTTGCAATAGGCTAAATAAATGCATTTGTCTGATGTGCTTTTATTCCAATGACACTGTTAAAGTGAAAAAGCCCTCGGTAAATTATTCAGTGCAATTTGGTTAAATGTGAAATCCTGGTGAAGCGGTTTCTAGCACACTGCCGCTTTTGAGCTTATTTTTTCAGAAACAACAGAAGCTCACTGCGGCAGTGATGTTTGATTTCAGCTTTGATGGTGCAACTGTGTGGTGAAATATACTCAGAGACTGAAATGAAATGTAAATGTTGCCTGACTGTATCACCCCACATATGGGTTCTTCTTGCAGTCACAAGGCCCCTGGAAAGACAGGAGCTCCAGCCCTGTAAATTCTTTGAATAATCCATCAGGGGCTGAGAGAGATCCCTCTCATTAAGAAAAACCTTTATTGATTTCTCAATCTTTTGAAAATCATTGCCCCTCAGCTCAAAGTTCCCACATAATTTCGATGAACATTAGCCGGCTTTAATTATTCAACCCTCAAGGGAACACTGGCAGGATTTATGAAAACGACAGATATCATTTGTATGATTACAAGCAGAAGAAATATGAATGAAACAGGTAAGTGAATCTTGAAATACTTAAAAAATACAAATACTTTCTTCTAATCAAAGTGTTCACTGCAGTCTTAAAACTGTACACACTTTCAAATGCATTTTTGAAAGAATGTAGAATATCAAAAGTTTCTTCTCAAGGAAACAGATACCTCACTATCTTGAACTAGTTGGATTCCCATACGGTGTTTTTGTTCTTTTATAAGAAGGAGAAGCTTTGATGCAAAATACAGCCCCATTTGGGATGTGTCTAAGAATAAAGCAGCTATTTTCCTATTTGTTAAACTAAGCTGTGAAAAACACAAATACCTTCTGATAGGTGAACCTCAGCGATTTAAAGACTTTCTGCAGAAAACTTCATTTCAAAGATGCCAAATGAAAACCAGAGAGGGGATTTGACTTCTTCAGACGACTAAGGGTGTTTCTCAATGTCGAGGAAGGCTCCTCCAGAGCCACTATTTCAAGGATACTACGTCATCGAGTCCCGCCGAAGGACTGTTCCAATGTCCAGGATCCTTGGAATTCTACAGAGGCCGGTGTCATTCGTTGCGGGACATTTCGAGGCGTAACATGTGTTTCCTCCGCGGCCTTAAAATCCCCACAATGCTTTGTGCATGGACCAATTTTCAAAATCTTTGGCGGAAATCGCGCTCCATATGAAGCACACCTGCACACCTGTTAGCCTGTTCCACCATTCTTCGTTTTCCGAGGCTAGGAAGGATTCTTGCCTCGCTTCTGAAGGACCTGGGTGTTTCTCAATGTCGAGGACGCTTCCTTGGTAGGACATGTCTTCCGAGTCAGGTCCTTCAGAAGCGAGGCAAGAATCCTTCCTAGCCTCGGAAAACGAAGAATGGTCGGAACAGGCTAACAGGTGTGCGTCATATGAGAGGCCCGCCTTACATTTTCCACAAAAGATTTTGGAAATTGGTCCGTGCGCAAAGCATTGTGGGGATTTTAAGTCCGCGGAGGATACACATGTGCAGCCTCGAAATTTCCCGCAACGAAGGACTCCGGCCTCGGTAGAATTCCAGGGATCCTGGACATTGGAACAGTCCTTCGGCGGGACTCGATGACGTAGCATCCTTGAAATAGTGGCTCTAGAGGAGCCTTCCTCGACATTGAGAAACACCCTAAAGCTGACTGGATGAGCACCATGGCTTGCTGCTGTGTTTAAATGCAGATGTATATGAAAGTCAAAAATAAATCCAATTGTAACGCTCTGTTGTGGAGCATTCTGAGGCACCCCTTACATTTTAAAAACAACATTTAAAAAGGAAAAACTACAGTGTGCACATTTTCACTCGCCTGCCGTTATATTCTTAAATCAATTCTCCCCAAAAACGTAAACTATGTGCAATGGACAGCAGAGCAACAACTAGAACAGAAACACTAGATCAATGCAAATCACACTGTGCTTTACCAGAAGACAGCGCTGATTTGTTGTGGATTTAATAAGCAGCGACAACATCAAGTCCTTATCTTATGTGATGCCTCCTATAGAATTATTCTCACACACTGAGATATGTAAAATGGTTTGCTACCTATAGTTGAAGTAAAAAGCCTTACATGATTACATGGCGGTTTTACCTCCATTACCGTCTCAGGATCTATTCTGGAGGACTGCCTCTCAGTGCAGTGTGAGTAATTGATAAATGTATACCTAGCTGTTAAAATGCCAAGTATGGCTGTTTAAAGCGGTCGTCTTTGAAATGTCCCTTTAAAGAGTTAAATAATAGTTCCATTAGCAGCAATGTTTCAGCGCTACATTCTGCTCTCCAAGACGCTGATGAAGGTCAGGCTTAAAAGGCTCCAGTTTTCTTTTTCAGCCAGAGGCTCCCAGCTTAGCCACAGCTCTGGGAGCTGCCTCACACAAAAGATTTACCCCACAATGCTGCTGGCCTAGATATACACACCAAACACACAATAGGTTGGCTGTGCATAATTTAGAGCACATCCTTTCTACGTTGACAAGACCAAAATTAAAAACGAAGCTTGTCAGCCATTTTAAGAATTCAAAGACTATGTGTTTGGTGGTGAAGGGAAAGTTAAATAATTTGCCAACATAAACGTAGTACTGTATGTGATATAAAGCCTGGAGCTGCCACAGAAACAGTGAGACTCACATGACTCCGAGGAATGTTTGCTCATTTACAATATACCAAATACGTACTCGTAACACAACACCTTTTATTGTGCAACTTCTTCAATAGAAGTGTCTGTTGTTGGAAGATACAGTCCCTCAGTTTCCCCTGGAGTCAAACAGTCATAAGGAGATGGATGACTGAATATATTCAAAGATATTAGGTTTGAGATTTCCTTCTGAAAGTGGTTTTATTTCGAGTCAAGTAACAACCCATAAGCCTTCTTAGCCCTGCAAGGATGTCAAATCCTCACTCTCGGTGTTCCGGTAACATCCCCTTTGAACATACGCTGTTTCAAGTGGAATTAATCAATCTCTTTATCACTTGGGCAGTGTCATTACCCAACCACAGAGTGAGAAATGAAAGTGCTAATCGCACAGCAAGTGGGGCGGTTGTGTGGGAAGGCCAAGTTTCCCTCTTAGAGCTGCTTTCGGAAATGCGTTTTGAATTGAATTTGTTAATCATGTGAAGGATGAATCGTGAGATTACCTCAAATATCTTTAAAAAGAGAGTAAGGAGGTCATCAGCTTTCAATTATGTTATCGAAACGTGATCCTATCAGATACATGCTAAAGTTTGTGAATAATACATTGCAGAGATGCTCACAAAAGCGTTTGAAACACAAGAAGCACATTCAAATCAATATTTTTAGACTCAACATTTACAACAAAATACATGTACTGTGCAGCATGCTGTTTTGTATTGTATGACATTATTATTTACCAGGTCACAATGTCTCATTAACCATGTCACATAACTGCAGCACACACATCATTATGTTAACAATTGAAGCCTCGCTTGTCACCACGGGGCTGGAGATGGATAGTCAGAAAGAAGGTATTAATATTCTAACTGTCCAGGCGTATGGCCTTCTGGCATGATGTCCTTCTGGCATGATGTCCACTAGCATCCTAAAGTGTATGCCCCCCAACAATGTGGATCAGAAAGAGGAGGATTACTTTGCCTGCAAAAGTGGTTGCACTAAAAATGACTGGATTTGTCTCCTATAATGAGAACTAAAGACTGAGTCTTAGTGTGTATAGCATATCCAATGTGCTGCATTTCCAGTTAAACTCTGTGAACCTTACCAGGTTCAGAGAGGGTGTCTTTTATAAAGGTAAAAGTATTTTGCAGAGCATTGGAGCAACCTTGGCAAATTACAAACTAAGTGTAATGTGTGGAATTATAAGTAAGCACATTCGCTGATATTGCTCCAGTGATGAAATACCTGGATGTTTGTATTGGACTATTCCAAAGGGGGGGTGGATTTACACAAAGAAGAAGAAGAATTAGACATTTTACCTGCTTTCCATGAAAAATGATGGTCCTTAGGAAACACAATGTCTGACTGGACTGAAATGGAAACGAGGGAGAAGAGGAGAAGGAAGCCGAGGCAGTTCCCAGCTCGCCGTGTCCAGGAAATGACCCCAAAGTCATCTTTTAGAGTCATAGTCCAGCCCATTGCTTCCTCTCTTACTCCTGTGGGAAGAACATGAAATTCATCAGTAAGTCACTCCTAAAAATGGAGAGACACATGGGGCGCAGGAACCAGAGGAATAGACTGTGGGTAAGCTCTGTACAAATGAGGGAAGTGGAGAAAGTGTCAGACAGGCTGCAGTGAAGAAAATGTCCCACTGAAACCTGCAGCCCAGAAACATGACTTTCACTATCACCTTCCAAAGTGAAAAATACTCTCTCCCACATGAATCATAGTGGTCTTCTTCTTTCTTTCTTTTTTAATCCATCATATGAGTGTGATACCATGTCTGCTTCTCATCCCACATAGAGCAGAAATAATTAGTCAGAGAGGCTTGAGAATATCAGCCTCCCAAGGTAGAAGTGGTCGCATGTATTGAAGGAAGGGGAGACTTTAAGCTTGAAGTAATACGGGGTATTAGTACCTTTTTATTGCAGCTAATTTATTCCTATCTTCTGCTACTGTAATTCATGTCCTACGAGTGTTACGGATTAGTCCTGGATTCACGAGGCCTCTAATTGTGTTGCACCAACACACAGCCAAGTTAATGAATATGGAATTAAATCTGTAACACCTGAAACTTTGAGAGATTCATGTAAGGATGTTCATGACATCTGTGACTGATTTTCTCAAAACAAACGCAGCTGCGTCACTGTAGCAGTATTCCAAAAAGTAAAAAAAGCGTATTGATATTGAGTGCACTTGGAAAATATAAACTGTTTGTTGTTTTGATTCCATATTTATTTAATGCCGTGCTAGGCAACTTTTGAAGAAGAAAAGAAGAAGAAAACCATTACATTAATTGGGTTGGATAGCAACGATGTATTATTAAAGGTCACCTGTTACGCAAAATCTTTTTTATGTATTTTATACATAAACATGTGTCCCCGCTGTGTAAAGAGATTCTGAAAGTTTCAGGATAAAAGATTCCCTCACTTTTTGTCCTGATCCATTTATATAAAAACATGTCTGAAAATGAGCTGATCAGATTTTGGCCACTTTATGATTTCATAATGTTTTTTGGGTTGTGCAACCATTAGCCAATAACCAACCAAGGTAACCCACGCCCACCTTATCACCTGAATCTCCTCCGAGAGCACCATTGTGTATTTTTAAACCAATCATCTCTCAGAGGGGCGTGGCCAGCAGCAGCTCATTAGCATTTAAAGCTAAGGACACAGCATCAGCACTTTTGAAACAGGGCTGAAACAGAGGGGTTTATGGGATGCTACAATGCATGATCTGTTTGGTATTTTGAGCCAAACACGTCAGAGACGTGTTTTGTATATATCTGAGACCTATTATATATTCTTGAAAAATAGTATAGGGGACCTTTACGGGTCCTGATCAAAACTTGTTTAACGTTAAATCAATTTATGCCACATTTTGTGAGCACTTCTCATTGAGAGAGTATGAGCCACAGTGAGTTGTCGATCCAAACGGGGTCACAAGTGCAGTTACACTATTCACACATTGAAGCTGCATACGTACTGTAGGAATACAAAAATGACCGGGACGACAAACAAAACACACGGCAGCGATATCACTTTGCCCTGGTGACAGACTGACAGGCTGGAGGTTTTAATCACGGGTGGTTTTAATTGATGTGCCTTATATAAATAAATAAATAAATAGTTTAAATAAATAACAATGTTGAAATGTAAGAGTTAGGATCAATGTCTTAAAAACTGTACTGATATCATTGTTGTATTTACAGAAATAGTAAAACTGCAAAAAGGTATTGTTAGTACCAGCAATGCTATTGATTTGATGTGAACACACATAGGTACACAGGCAGATAGGCCATCCAATCATTGCATGAGAGCAGAATGAAATAATTGAATAGGCTTATTACAAGCCTGCAACAGAGCATTTGATTTATTGATTGCTGGAAAATAGAATTTCAACAATATAACATAAAGGCTTCTGAAATAAATTGCATATCCTTGCTTTAACTTTGCAGTTCACCACAACACGGTGGGTTTTACATTTTGCCTCAATAACTTAGTATCATAGAGAGTATTTGATGCTAGATTAACTACTGAGAGGCGGCATTTGAAATTAAAGATTATTTACACATGGTGTGCCTGTGGAAGCGCTGGGGGCTTGATTATTTGTTTGCTTGATTTCATTAAGGAAAATTAGATTTTGCCTTTTCTGCTATAGCTGAATTTTGGTAGGGGTGAAATGTGTTTAATGAGAAAGAATTGCAGGGTGGAGATGGCGTGGTGCCCAGAAGTGAGATACCAGATGCTGGGTGTTGATGGACTGTCCAATTCTCTTCAGAGTTTGATGTGTTATTCTATATTTTAAAGTGTTTTGCTCTCGGTGTCTAAGAGGGGCTTTTAAGCTCAAATTCGGGCGTTTGGCAACTCAACATACAGCTTTTGTTTCTAATGTCCTTTCAATCAATCTGCAGCATGAGTTTCAAACATACAAGCCCATGTAGGGCCACCATTTGAATTCTTACAACTCAAAGAAGGGTTTATTGTTCTTTCTGATTTAAAGAACTCATCCACTTTGAATAAAAGGTTTGCACTTGTATTGTTTTGTTTTATTCAAGCTGCCTTTGTCTCACATGTAGAGATGCCAGGAATTCATTCTGTTTGGATGAGTGAGCAGAGTATTCTGGCACCCGGGCAGCCATATGCCAATTAGACACCTCTGCTTTCTGATTACTAGCCAACCTCTCCGGCTGCACCGCTCTGAAAGCCATACCTGACTGCACCCAGATTACATCCTCCCTCCAGCCAGTCTAATTTGACTATTCACGGGACAAGAAGCGATCTCAACAGGCTGAAAGAACATGTCACAACTGATTGGAAAACATGGTCTGGAACAAAAACAAGCTATGGAAGCCAGCCTAACCCCAAGGCATCCCAGCATTGTTTCTTGAAAGACAGACATTTGAGATTACCCCAGTGTTAGATATGGTTTGTCAGAGGACCTGTTACTGTTTCTCCAAGCCTGTCAGTTTAAAGAATTACAGGCTATTGTGTTCATACAGCTCAAGCTCGGATTCATTCAATCCGTGCCTCTCAGAAAAAGGGGAATGCAGGCTATCCTGAAAAATCTTTAAAAAGAAAAAAGCGGCTAAATATCTGGGTCAAAGGAATCATGCCAGGCTCTCAGTGGTCACAGAAAACCTGGCAAACAGCAGTGTGGCTCAGATGCTGCTGTGCATCCTATTACATACTCCGTGATCTGATGGAATGCAATCTGCTTCTCTGTCTCCGGTGGTCCTTGTTTCTCACATGCTGGAATCGGAGAGCGAGTACCCTGCAGCTACCATGAGGGAACAGATGAGCAGGCCTTCTCTTTCACAGGTGGTCACCATAATTAATGTTTGATCAAATCTTTCCAAATGAATGTCAAAAGCTAATTTGGTGTGCCGAGGCTCTGAACAATCACTGTCCACCCGCCTCTCTAAAAACAAGCCAAACACACCAGTTCTGTCTGGAGTGGAAACAAAGGAATTTCATCCCACTACACATCATTTTCCAGAGTTGCCAACCTCTTCCCTGGATTTCAACATCATTATGTAGCCAACCAGCTCATTCTCTCTTCACATGATAGCATAAATGCATGCCCATATCCCTGTGCTCTTCCTTCTGTACTGCATCCAGTATTCAGGTTAACGCAGCTGCAAGTGTTTTCTCCATGTTATGGTGCATGTAATTGTTTTTGATTGGCTTTGGCAATATCTAAAACAGAAATTCATTCTCACCCAAAGATTTTTGCAGATGTTTCCATTGGCAGAATGACCATGACAACATTGAAACAATCAGAAATGTGATTCACAACACAGCTTTTTGTATTCATTGTATCACAGGCTTGTGGGTACAGCTGCAAAGACCTTTCACCGCAGGACCAATGTTACTGTCCGACTCCAATGTATTACTTTATACTGGCACAGTTTCTATTCTAATCAGAACTGCAACAAAAAGAAGACTTCCATATTTGCTTGGCCTGAACAGATGATGACTCTGAGACATACTGTGTATTTCCAAAAAGGTTTAGCCTCTTCTGACTTTTTATCATGACTGTACAACAAATAGACACGGATGAATAAGGAGGTATTGAAAACATGCATGCATAGATAGTAGGGGTGTAACGGTTCACAAACATTTCGGTTCGGTACGTACCTCGGTTTTTTGGTCACGGTTCGGTTCGGTACGTTTTCGGTACAGCAGAATTTTTTTTCACAAAACAAAACATATATATATATATATTTATTATTATTATTAAACTGTGAATAATGTATTCACTCAAATAAATACAAAATATAATAAAATAAACATTAAGGTGCAGCATTTCGATGAACTGAAATAATCTGTATTTGAACTTTACTGTACTAGTACTCACAAAACATAAACTATTAGTTTTGGGTTTTTAATTATTATTAAACTGTGAATATTCACTCAAATAAATACAAAATATAATAAAATGAACATTAAGGTGCAGCATGTCGATGAACTGAAATAATCTGTATTTGAACTGAACTGTACTAGCACCTAAGCAGCCAGTTTGACATTATGACTTGCTTGTCATTGTATTTTCATGTTGTTTAAAGAAAGATGAACTTGTCCACATTGCTTGCCGAAAGGGCAGATCTGCTGGCACTAACAATGTCTCCTGCTGTGGAGAACACCCTCTCTAGGGACAGAGGTAGCAGACACAGCCAGGTAGCGCTTTGCTAACATGGCAACATAAGGATATTTGGCGTTTGTAATAGCTTTGGCTCGGTCTGAACTCTCTGCGAGTGGTGGAGGCTTAAATGCTAGTGGGAGTTGGGTTTGCACTTCAGTCATTTTTTCTTTTGGTACCGGTGATATTCACGTTCGGGTGATGCCTTTTCAAGAGTGTGCAAGTTTGATGTATTGCCAGACGCGTAACCAATGTTAGTTGAACAATGCCGACAAACAGCTTTGGTTCAGTCCACCTGTCTTTGTCCGTCATCCTTGTTCGTAACTGCAAAACCAAAATGTTCCCAAACCGGAGA